ACAACTTTAGGACACTTCTGTGATAGTCACAGGATGGCAGCGTACTAGAATCGCTGTGGCGAGCACTGTCGTTTTGGCCGTGTTATACTGCTGATATGGCTGTACATATTTCTCAGTGTAAGAACTTAACCACTTGCGCTCATGAAAAATTAAGGAAGCTAGTTCTTTGATACGAATTGCATGGTGAGCAGTGGCCTGTAATTAAATCTATTAAGAAGAGCATATTGGCTGCTATATGAATGGTATAGAGTGTACATGTGAATAAACTCCGGTGATCATCAACCCAAAGATTAAGAGGGAGCCGCGGTACTTATAGCCAGCTTTGGAAGGCTTAACAACATCTTGATTTGTAGTGGGTTAGTTTTGTATGCAAGGAGAAGTGTTATGTGTTGGTATTTAGTATTGACAGTGTAACGAAGTGAGGTTTTGCGTACATGTCTGGTTACACAACAAAGCCTTTACCTGCGTGACAACAGATGAACTAGAGAACCTACAGCGTCAGTACTATGCAGAATTTTATTGTATGTATCAAGTTGTTTTACTTTAAATAATTTGATTATATTTAACAGCTCATTTCTGTACTTACTTTTACTGTTTACACGTTTTCTTATCGTTTTAGGACATTAACATTTTTAATAAAATGATCGTAAGGGTTGACAAAAGTTTTTTCCATTAAATACCTCTCAAATTCTGAGCAAAGCCCACAGTGAATACAAAAAATCGACATTTGTATTCTTATTATAGGTAAGAAATAGTTATTTGCAACTCATGACACAAAAACCTACATTTTAACGGGAGAAAAAGCTTTAGAAGCGAAAGGGTGTCATTTTGTGAAAGGTTTTTTGACTATCATGAAGCAACCAGTCATCGACTCAAATTTATATCCAACCAAAAATTTTTATGGAAATCATTAGCTGGTTAAAGTAGTTAAGTAAGTCAGGATCAGACAAATTTTTAACTAAAAAAAAAGGAAGTAGAGTCAACGATGGATTTCAAAACCCTTAAAAAGTTAATGAAGAAGATCTTAGTCCAATATATCTGTCCTAATAAAATGGATCAACAAGAAAGAGTAGAAGGTATAGGTCTCCTACGAATGAATGATGGATGTACGGAAAAAACTCACAGATTAACCTAAACCAGTGAACTTAAGATTATCACTTAAGTACAATGTATCTATTAGGTAGGAGTAAACTTAAACTTAACAGTACTTTATGAACCCTAAAAAGACACTGATGACTTTGATGACGCTATAAAACCGATTCGAAAATTAATCTTTAATAAACAAGCCAGGATAGATGAAGAATTAAATGTACAAAATATAATAAATCAAATNAGTTTTGAAAGTTAAATAATAATAAATACTCTATATTCCTGAAGTAATAGTTCAATTCTCATTTAGTTCAAAATACAGTTGTGTGTGATTTAAAAACCAAAGTGTGTTTTTAGAAAAGACTAATAAATGTTTAAACATAATTTAAAGTATACATTCTTAAATTAGAAAATAATTGTATTGCTCTCTTAATTTGTTTACTTTTTTTCTTGTTATGTCAAATGCAAAATTAAATTTTTTATTGGAGTGTATCAGAATATTCATAAAATTTAGACGAAATATTAAAGATTCATAGTTGAAAACAGCAAGCTTATCGAATAAGGTAAAATGTTTTATACAATTATATAAAAATTCTGGAATTTCACAACCTTTTTGTTAAAAAGTTTACGATTTTCGTTTTTCAATTTGAAGTTAATACAATTACTTCTTTAACCAATTTCAACCACTAGTTTTTCGTTACAACGTTATTGTCAGTAAGATAAATTAATGTAACTGTTATTGTTAGGTATAAGCTTCTTACGAAGATTAAGGTAAAACTGGTATCGAAATATAAGTTCACTATCCTATATTTATTTGTCAATGAATCACAGTCCCAACATCGAAACGTTTGCTTGTAGAAATATAAAGAAACGTTTTCTTATGAAAATGTTTTATTACATGTGGACTGAAATTTGTGACATTTTTGTCCATATATTGTTAAAATTTTTCTGTTACTTTCATTAAAGTTAAATAAAACTAGGAATTAGTTTGAATTGAAATTGAGCAACTTTAAGTACTAAAGAGAAGCATAATTTATTTTAATGGTCGAAGAAAAATCGTTGCGAACACCCCTTATAAAATAAACCGTATTGCAAACTATTATAACCTATTCTCTTATAAAATAATGATACTTGTAGTTTATTGTAAATAAGTATTGAATTTTAAGCACTTTTATTAACAATTAAGCTGTTTGTTTTTTTTTAAATTTGCTATGTGATAAAGTTTTGACATCATAAGTTACAGAGAGATTAGAAATTTACTGCTATTTTTAAGTGCAAGTCGATTTCGTTTACAACTGTCCTTTATTTTTTTAGTAAAAAAAAACTTTTCTTTAATACTATGCAAAAATTACATACGTATACATATGACTAAGCTGCTATCTTCTTTATTCGAACTACAACTGTACGCATCTTCATTCCAGGTAATAAAGTATGTAGATCACATACATACAGATAACAGTAAAGAAATAATAAAACTGCTAGAACAACAATAAGATTAAAAATAACTTTTTTTTTTTAACTATGTTTAATTCGTACCAAGATTCGTAAGAAAGACTTTTAAAATAAGCTTTATGAACTTTTTTTCTGCCTAATCATACAAAATCAGTAAGTAAAGGTACTAATTTAAGTTTAAAAAATGAAAAACGTATTTTGACATAATGTGCCTGCCTTTCACTCTTACGTACTGCTTGGATTTTTACGCCCATGACGCTTAAATACTTTTCTAGTAGGTATTGAATGCAAGTTCTACTTGGGAGCTTATTTTTCGCTTTCTACATTGAAATCGTGAAAAAACAAAAAGATTTTAACAAAGAGAAGCATAAAATTACATACGGGACATAAGAATGGCATTGACTAATTGGTGCTTTCTTTTGGTGCTTCTAAGGTAGTAAATAATATACAAAACTTATTCAAAAAAGGTTTTTTTATGAACTTCCTTATGGCCCTTGCTTTTAGCTCGTACCTTAAGCTTCTTGTTCCGCCAATTAAAGACTTCGCAAGTTAAAACATCATATCGTATGGTACGTCATTTAAATGATATAAAGTATGTGTGAACCGCTAAACTAATGATAAATAAGTAGTTAAAAGCTCTAAGAGAAAGTTGCACTTCTTCAGCAGATTATATGTAAATGTAGTTATACTTTTACAAAAGAATGTAGTAAATCAGCCACTGCAATAAATGAAAAAAGTAATCCAGTTAATTCGGCTAAAGAAAAGTAATGTAGATATTACATCCCAAGTTCATACAGAGGAATCATATTATAAGTAAATACGCAATTCATCCGTAAATTCATACAACACATATTGTGTAAATACATTAAGCTTATGTGACAAGTAGAGCTTATGTCACTTATATACGTGTGTGTGTAAGTGTGTGTGTATTAGCTTTGAGGTTAATGTTTCATAGTATGATGACATGTTATAATGCATAAATTATATTGTGTGTTTGAGTGAAATCATAACATGTAACATTATCTTGCAAGCCTACTGTTTTGCTGCCAACTCAGTCTGCAAGAACATAGCTCATTGGTTGATCTTATTCAATCAAAAGCCTGTTTTATTCGCTCTCAAGCTATAAAAACTCGCTATCTAGAAGAAAAATTGCTCTTTTTACGTCTGTCACCTGTCCTCTAAAGTTTTAGTCTACTCTTGATTCCCACGACTTTCGAGTACCTTATATATCACGTAAGGCATAACGTGTTGGCTAAGGCTACTTGGGTGTAGTTCAAGAGCATTAATAGTATTAGACTACGCTAAGGAGTGAGGTACACCGGAGGCCCGCCAAAAGTGGTTCTGGCGATAGTAGAGGAAGCAGAAACAGCAACATATTACCGGCCACAAACTCATTCGTGTAGTTTCAGGAACTACTAAAAACTACTGTACAAAGGATTAGGGAACTTTGAAGCAGCAGTAACAGCATTTAGTGATGGATGTAAGTTATTTGTTAGTAATATAGTTAATACCGAAACTTTGTTAAGGTGATCTGAGTAGATTGTATTTAAAAGAGGAACTATTTCAATATTTTTTATAAAAGGATGAAGCATTGAATACAATTGGAATTATGTATAATATTTTCATAAATATTTTTACTCAACTTAAAAGAACAAATAAAGCTCATGAGCTCAATCCTGAGAGACCTACAAACTACACTCAAATAAAATGGTAAAAACCTTATACTATCGCATTCGTAAGGAAATTGTGTGTAGAAGTCTAACAGTTTTTGTTTGTATGACAGAATATTATGAAATAAACATAAAAGATCCTTAATTGAATTAACATATGGGATTTTTAATGGAATGAGAATGTAGATGTTAAGTTTCCATTAAGGCATTTATGTGGGTGTATCCGTACAAGCAAAATAATTTCCAGTGTTGCTGCATATTTAAGCTTCCTGTATTCCTCTGAACTGTCACCCCACAAACTATGAATAATGTCTTAAACTTAATAAATCACATTAGTTGGAAATGCTTAACAAGTAACAGAATTAGGTGCAATAAAAAGGAATGAATTTATTTACAAAACTTTTTATGAATAAACCATTTGTGAAGATGAATTAAAAAAATTTTAAACTGTTTGAGAAAATTTCTTCAAAAAATAAGAAAATTATATATTCGTAAATTCTTCAATTTACAATACAGTAAGAACTGTATAAAAATTTTTAAGAACGTACTAATTCTGCTTCTTAGAAATTTTTTGTCAATGTTTTAAAAAATAATTTTTTTGTATAAATGTCTCAATAACTTACATAATTTTGGCTTTCTTTGACTGTATGTAGTATTAGTGTTAGTTTTATTAACATTCCATTCATAAAACAGACAGTTTTTATGTTATGTTATAAATTATTTTGTGTACCATTGAGCCATGAAATAAAGTAAATAACAATTACTGAAATCAGAAACATTTTTTTATAGATCGACTTTAATCGGATCTGACTTAAATCGTTCATGGAACCGAATGTCTATGTGGACTCAACCAGTGCTGATGGCAACAAAAACTTTGTTGCAATCTTGGGATACTGATACAAAGACTATTATAGATTGCGTATTTGATTTGCATGCTCACTCAAATGCTACTGGACTCTTCGTTTATGGGAATGCATATGACGATGTATACAGGTAAAGATGAGTCATTTCCATACTAAAATTAATACTAGCTTGTTTTTGATATAATAAGATTGGTAAACGACTCTGTCTACGTACCAACACTTGATGGATAGAATTTCTTAAGGCTGTATTTAAAAAGAAATAAAATCCATAATTTTTTGGGATACCAAGCTTTTATAACAACAAGTCTCCTGTTTCACCATTAGTTAAAAATCGAAGGATTTCCACACCTATCTTTAATAAAAGTTTGAAGACAATTTAATAATATAGCTTACTTATTGTGTACTATTTCACCTGAAAGATCAATAACAATTAAACTTCTTCAATTTTTCGCTGATTAAGATATGTCTTGACATGAACCTATGTGTAAAAGTTAAAAAATCACCAGAGTTTTTTGTACAGTTCACCTTTATTGCCTAGGAAATCTACGTAAATTAATCTATGAATGACTAAATTTCAAGTAAATAGTTAACAATCTACCTAAAAAACTGGAAAAATTTTACGCATGTGTCTTTAGACTTGGCGTGTGACGTGTATGTTTTGAATATGTTAGTTAAAAGGAATAGACAATGAATATCAAATCGATGATGTAGAGAAAGTTGCGAATACCTTATTGGGCAACGAACAATTTAACGGTCACGGCCCTTGTGTAATGGACGTGGACGTATAATTTTCCTGATTCATGTACTGATGTATGCATAAAGTAGGGAAAAAAAAACAGATTTAGCTATGAGCCTGCCAGGCAGTGACTTCCAAAGGATAAAGAACAAGCCCTCAGGGAGACCCTAAGATTGGGTCAGTAGTTATATACAAGATTGGGTGTGTTCAGGAGAGATGGTAAATTTGATTAAAATATTTCTGGAAAAGGTGAAACTTGCTGGTCTAGGCAAGAGGTTAAATTTTTTGGGTGCAATTATTCACTTACTGTCGACCTTATTCTACATCAAGTCTTAAGTATTTTTTGTTATTGTTTATTAAAATGTATATAGCTTCTATTTAACTGTCTAGAAATTTTCTGTATCCTGCAGAATTTTTTTAAAGTTTACGTGTAGGAATTGCATGCAATAAACAAAAAAAGTTAATTTAATGTTTAAAAGGCTTTATAGGTGCTGCTCAGTTGGTGTACGCTGCCACTATTGCATTAACATTTTCTTGGTAGTTCCATCTTTTGTGTTTCCTAAGGGCATTTTGTGAAAGTGTTTTTTTAAAATTATGAATATGAAGGAAAGCACTATTTACCTTCTAATTATGTGTTGCATGCCTATCAGTTAATAAAGCGTCCTCTGTGTGAGATTACGATGTATGTTTGATAATGTCACTGTATTGTGAGACGTGTGATGATAGTAATAAATAGTAAATATTGGATACGTTCTTCCCCACACCTTCTTGTTGATTTTTTCTGCTGAGAAATTGGTAAATAGTACTTGGGCTTATTTTTTTGTCTTATTTTTCATTGTTTTTTGTATTCCTTCTCATGTCAAGTAGCGTCGTTTACTTGTTGTGTTGTTTTTTTAATTCTGTAATCGTATTTGTTGGTAGTATTGTCTTTGTTCTTTTTATGCTGTACTTTAGAATTTGTATTCTTGTTGAAAGATTGTTTCATCTAGTAATGATAAGTTTGATTATGTTTTCATTTAATTTTTTAATTTTTTTTTTACTTCTTTAGTACTATTCTTTTATTAAGTTCTCATAACATGAAATTTAATTTTGCCAAACAAAAAAAAAACTTATAGCATAATGGTGGTCAATAGCACAGGTCAATAGATAACTAATGGTAATTAATGTGTTAGTGGCCATTTTCTACCTTTACCAAGTGTCTGAGATTATTCATTAAGTAAAAAAGTTGTATCTGCATGTTAGATGTAATAAGTATTATTAGTTTAGCTTGTTAAGCAGTTACAACTGACGTTATTTTTCCTAAACACTTTTTGGAGTAGCCCGTATCAGTTAATAAATATATATTACACTTTCTTGCCACATCAATAATATCATTCTTGTCTTTCAAAGATGTTAATAAATTGAATTACTCTCTTAGGGAAATTTCAATAATTGTTTTATCCATAGCATAAATATTAATTTAATCATAACACTATTTTTGATAAAAATTTATTCTACTTAGATAGTATTTAAAAATATGTTCAGAATGTTTTATATTTTAAAGTTCAATAATTAAGGAACGATTTTGTCTCAAGCCACTCAACTTAATTGTAATAGTTTTGCTATCAAAACAAAAAATTTGTACGTTTTTCGTGGAGTTAAGATGTGTTTTGGTCTCCTTTCATGTTTCCTAGTTTTCAGAATCCTTCTGTATGTTATCGTCTGATATTTAAGTTATCTAGAAGATAGAATTTCAAAGAACTTTTCTACACTGAGAAAAAAAATAATACTATGTATCTGCAACGTAATTCACTGAAAATGAATTTCTAATTCAGACCCCTATTTGCAGAAGTAATGTAATAGTTTATTGCACATTAAATATTATACGGGTAGCCAAGAATACTAGTCAACATTTCAGGTTATTAATGGTGCGCAACGTTTACCTGACTGTTTGATACCTATTCTGAGGCATCCAATAGAAGTTATTTAGTGTGAAAAGTTTTCACAAGCAATTGGCATAAGAAATATCTATTTTACAGAAAAGCCGATATGCACCTTATTTGACTGACTGTACACACGGAGGTTATTGTAAGTGGTATTCCTTAACATTTATTATGGACCTTACGTTAACAAGTATATTATATAATAGGGATGTGGTAGGGAGCACATTGCTCTCATCATTCAGCGGTAGTTTAACGTAAGCTACGACATAAATGTTGACGAAAATTACCTGTCATATCATCAATATTTATAATTAGTTAGCAAAATTGCATATAAGCTATTTTATGATAGAAACTTTTATAAGAAATTTATTTCTGTAAACTTCTTTATATAATAAGTGGCCTTAGACGTCTGATGACGAAGGTAAATGGGCACTAAAACGTTGCTTATCTTTAACACTATATGTAATGTCAACTTGTTTCATTCACTACTATTCTAATATTATATAAACGAGTGACTATTATAGAACTTATTATTAATAGATAGAACTATAAAAAATTATCGATGTTTAGGCATCGTATTCTGGGAGGACCATAACAACATTTTTGTGTTCTGGGGTTTTCTCACAGTTTCAGTAGCTCTTCTGGCTAACTTATTTTTGGACGTGGTAATCATAACAGGATTTAAAAACATTTAGAGATTATTTCTAGACCTCCTACAGTTTCCTGCTGCTCCTCTACAGTTCTCCTTACCAACTAAAGGGAACCTAACGGACACCCTACCAACCTTAAAAGACTGCGACACAAGCACAATTATGCATTTAATTTAATTTTTCAATTAATTTTTCCTCAAACTACAATGAGACATGAACGTCCCTCTCCCCTTCTACTACTCCCCCGATGGTTATAATTATGTTCATTACATTTTATTTATGTAAAAATTTAAAAAATAAACAAGCACACTAATAAATGTATATCAAAGGCAATAATTTTCTTGTAACATAAATATAAATTACATTGGAAAAGTATGTAGACATCCCATAAGTAAGATTAACGTAGAGATCATATTCATATAAAAATATGCATTTGGAAACAATTTATTTTGTTATACCTTCAACGATTGCACTATTTTTCTAAACGTTTATTTTTCCTAAAAATGTAAAGATGTTAAAAATTTGTTAATCTGATAGGATATTAATTATTTAACTTTACTTTTACATACAAGACATTAAGTATGCATGTACATAACAATTTATCGTAGACATGTATAAAAAAGTAAAAAAAAGGAAGAGTAAAAAAAAAGGATTAAACTCGATTTGTTTTCAAGAATAGGGTTAACTTGTGAGTATGGCATAACAGCGATATTAGCCGTAGACAACTCGACTGATACTTCGTCTTTATGTGCTTACAAAACATGTGTCTGCAATAATTATACAGTGGGTGAAGAAAAGGAACAAGAAAATAAATGGTTAAGCATTGTAAAAATGAATCGCTGATAGATTATAGACGTAATAAATACGTCATTAAGTAGTCTTGTTACCTTTTTTATTTAAGGTATTGAAATGGAAAGATATTGGTCATTTTTTAATGTGATGAAGTATATAGCAACTACACTTTCACACATTATATGCAATGCGTGAACGTTTGTTTGTTCACTTATTTTCTAATATAGATTAGAGGCGTCCAAGTGGGAATACACATCTATATATTTTTTATATATTGTTGTACTGTATAAATCAATATTTGTACGAAAAATACTAACTAATTAAAATTTCATTAAGAGAAAGAAAATTTTTCCTACGCATTATATAATTAAATAAAGGAGAAAGTCAAAAGTCAAAGCATTCCTTCATATTATAGCACTTAATTTCTAATCCAAAAAAGTTATTAAAATGAAAGATACAAGCAAACAGTTTCTGATCATTGAAATTTTTTTGATTCATATTTTACTCTTACTGCAAAAATACATTTCCTATTTATGAATAATTCTTATCGCACAAGATATCATGGAATCGACAGTTATTTTTAGTTCTTGTGTGTGAAGTATTTACGGGAAGGGAGCCCAACTAGCATGCATAAATTTATGTATATCAACGCAAGAACTGATTTATGTAGGCTTAACGTGCTTTTAAAATGTATACTTATAGCATTGAAACTTATGTAGAGAGTCAGCATAAGTTAGAAAAGTCTGCATAAATCAGCACCATATAAAAAATCAGCACACATCTTAAAACTGATATGCATACATACACATACTAGTAGGGCCTTACCATCATGAGAGCTTAACTCGTTAGTCCCTCACTACTCTAATTAAGAACTGAAGTACTCCGATTTACTACGTGAAAGGGTAACGTATGTAACACTTGTATTTTTTTGTATGGCTATTGTGTTATAAATTTATTCTATCTTTATTAATAAATTGTATTTTGTAAGGTTTTTGACAGTAAACATAATGCTTACAATAAGCATTAGATA